CAGTTGTGTGTTGTGAAAAATATATTTCATAGTTTTAGTTATTAAACATAATTCAGTTACAGAGAGAAGGCGATCAGACGCCATTAATGTCATCGTGGGGCACTAACTATACAGCAGTTTCCATTTTGCCACCTTGACGTAAAACATTGTATTCATGGAATCAAAGTCACTTCAACAGTCTTTCCTTTTGAGAGGAGCTGACCTTTTGAGTCTAAATAAACTTTTCATCGAGCTTCATCAGAAGCTGCTTCTCAGAGTTCTTTGCATCAACACAAACTTTTGGGTCTGACAACGAGTGCTGCAGCGCTGAAAGCCTCTCACAAGCAGCTCCTGGTAAAGGTTTCAACACATCCATAAACCTGCTGGACAGGCCAGGAGGACTCCAGCTGCACACTGGCCTGTCTGGTCCTCCTCTGAACAAAAGGACCTGGAAGCTCCATGGGTTGCTGCTTCAGAGAGCTTCTGGTGAAGCCGAGACCTACGAGGCAAAATCAAAAAGATTAGTTTACCGCCAAAGTCATGGGGGGCAGCAGTAGTTCAACTGGTTGAGCGAGTTGTCTAGTAATTGGAAGGTTGCAGGTTCGATTCCAGCTCTGGACAGAGATCTCTGCAGAAAAGAAAGACTTCCAAGATGGTGCCGCATATGGCTGCCTTGGTGGCTCGATGCACCTTTTTTGTAATGTTTTGCTTTAATTTTGTGTCAGGATGCTCATACTCCAGAGGGGAGCTTATGAGCGTAAGATCTATCACTCCAGGGGAGTTGCTACCGATCTTTCTAGCAGCAGCAGCTGATCTGCTGCAAGTTCTGAGACGCGGGAGAAGATTAAAACAGACCGGTGTCGGTACAGGATCTGCTCGGGTGCAGGATCTGCTCGGGGTCCTTCGACTGCCGATGACGTCACGACTGTAAATCTACTCGGCTTTCACACACACGTTTTGGAAAGACATCAGCAGTTTTGTTAATAAATTCTTGTTTGTTAACACCTAAATGTTTACTTTATAACTGTAATTTGTTAATAAAACACCATATTATCTTTGTTTGGTAAAGAATGTGAAACTGCATAAAACCAACATCAGACTGACAAACAAAAGAACAGTTCTTTTATGTGAAGCCATCTGTTTGTATTCATGTGGAGTTCGTCTGTATATTTCCTTAGTTGTTATCTAAATACATTCTTTGACTCAAAATGTCGCTTGGTGTCTTTCAATAAAGTTCTTATATTTTATTTTGCCCCATTTCATCAACATCAAGAGCTTTTGAGGGTCACCGTTTATCATTTGCTTATATTTTACATTTCCTTTAGAAATTCAAACATATTTTCTCCAGTAAGTGTTGGTTTTTGGACTACAGGACTACAACTGCTAAGACTACAACCGCAAATTTGTTCTGACCAATCAAAATCATAACGTGATAACGTCACTTCCGTACAGCCAATCAACTACTTTGACATCATCGGCAGTCGAAGGACCCCGAGCAGATCCTGTACCGACACCGGCGCGCTTGTTTGCCTCCGCAGATGCGGAATGCGCACACCGTTACCTGGGATCTTCCTCTCCTCTTCCTCTCTCTCAGCAACGAAATGGACGAACTAACAATGCTGATGAGAAGAAATAATGACTTCTCCTCGTCCAGTATCCTGTGCTGCACGGAAACATGGATGTGTGAGCAGACGCCGGGCAGCGCACTCAAACTGGATGGCTTTCATCTCCTCCGTGCAGACTGCGAGAGCGAACTTTCTGGGAAAGTCAAAAGGGGGGGGGAGGGTGTCCTGTCTCTGTATTAACAGCAGATGGTGTTCTGATGTGACCAGTAGCGGTTTTAGGCACGGGCAGACAGGGCAGTTGCCCGGGGCGGCATTTTTTCATGACACAAAAGGGGCGCACAAGCGCGGAGTAAAAAAAAAAAGGAAATCTGTGCCGCACCGAGGTTTTCTATTATCTGTCATATGACAGAGTCTGGATTGGAAACAGCAAGTTGGCGCCCCCTGCAGCTGCAGGCGCTCCTGCTGACTGAGAACGTTCACGTGCACCGTGTGTCTATGAAGAAGAGGAAGGGGAGGGGTGCGACGGGGGAATTCACCTCTGGGTCTTTCCCAAATGAAATGAGCGGGCAGGGGCTGAATCAACTGTATTAACATGGCTAAAGTCGATCACATCTTAACGTTCTTCCATATTTCATTCATAATATCATAAACACAGGCCTATCATTCTTTCAGGTTTCTCTGAATTGTGTGAAATGGCCGAAAAAAAAAGGAAAAACAAAACGATTTTGTGTTCACCCCCCCCCCCCCCCCCCCCCCATCAAGGTCAAATTGTTTAGTCCTGACTAAAGGACACTTATTGAGTCAGGAGCCAAACAGAAGAGATGAACATAAAAAGGCTAAAAACACCAGGTGCCCCCATTCAGGGGGGAAAAAAAAGAAAAAAGAGGAGAAAGATAAAGGTATGTAGCTCTCATGATGCATGTTTTCAGTTTTTTGAACCAGTTAACTGGGATTTTAACAGTTAAATTCGGTCAGCTAATTGCTAACAGAGCTAGGGCTGAAATATTTAAACGAATATTCAAATGGTTCGAAAAAAGTCCTTGAATGGTTTTTTACTGATTCAAACTAGGATTTGTTAAATGCTCGCTGCAGCCTGTGGCCTGTCTGAACAACAACAAACACATGTTGATCATGTTCACATAATAATAAATAAAACAACTGTACAAGCAGAAGAAAACACCCCAGTCACCACTAACTATCCTGTTTATTTATTGCAGATGGCTGCACTGATTATTTTTACATCATTTGTTCTGTAAAAGTTGGCATTTTTGGTAGTCTACAGTTTTTTATGTCAGTTTAAATTACAATTTCAGAGGCAATTCTAAAATATTATGGATCATGATAAAGATCTATTGGAGATCTACCCCAGTCACTGTGGCTCAAGCTGAGAGGAGCTTTTCAAAACTTGATCAAGTCATACCTGAGGTCACCTATGTTTCAGGGGCGGCTCACTAACCTGGCTCTGATTAGTATCAATCACTCAGTAGGGGAGCAGATTTCATATGATGACATTATTGATGACGTTGCATCAAGGTTAGGTTTTAATTTTAGTTTGTGTTTTCTGTTCTAAGTGCAATGCTGTGGTGATTATCTTTAGTTTGTTATGTGTGAAATATTTTTGCTATTTAGAATATTTATTATCTATTATGTTCATATATTCTTAATATTTAGTTATTGTTTGTTTTTGTATATTTGATTCTATATATTGTGATACAGTATATAATCTATAGTGCTTTACATTCTGACAACTTCATAGTAATTAATGTAAATATGTGCAACTTAGAAAAATGAATGTTCAATAGTCGTTCTAATAAAACATGCCTGTTTGTAGAAAACATGCGTGTGTTCATGCAGGTGGGGTGGTGGTGGGGGGGCGGTTGGGGGAGGCGCTCAAAGGGGGCCTCGCCCGGGGAGTAATTCGATGTAGAACCGCCACTGGATGTGACTGTAATCGCCCAGCTCTGCTCTCCTGCTTTAGAATGCCTAATCATCAATTGCAAGTGAATTCTCCTCGTTCATTGTGGCTGCTGTTTACATCCCGCCGAGCGCTGACGCGCAGGCGGCACAGCGCACACTTGCGGATATAACTGTGTGTGTGGAGCAAAAACGCCCCGACTCCCTGATTATTGCCCTTGGCGACTTTAACAAGGGGAATCTGATCAAAAACTACCAAAATACAGACAGTTGATTGACTGCCCGACCAGGGTAAACAACACGCTGGATCACTGTTACACAACAATAAAGGGAGCCTATCATGCGGTGTCGCGTTGCGCTCGGACTATCGGATCACATCATGATCCATCTGATCCCCGCATACAGGCAGAGATGAAAGCTTTACACCTGTGGTCGGGACATCCAAAAAGTGGACTGAACAAGCTGAGGAAGAACTTCGCTCCTGTCTTGAATCGACAGACTGGGGTGTGTTCGGTTCAGCCACTGACAGCCTGGATGAGTACTTGGACACTGTCACATCCTACATTAAGCACTGCGAGGACGGCACTGTTCCAACACGCTCCAGGCTGTGCTTCAATAACAACAAACGATGGTTCACGGCTAAACTCAGTCAGCTCAGGAGGGAGAAAGAAACTGCATTCAACAACAGAGACAATGAGAGCTACAAACATGCAAAACACAGGTTCAACAGGGAGGTGAAAAATGCTAAATCCAGGTACTCGGAGAGGTTGAAAGAACAATTGTCAGCTAACGACTCAGGCTCTGTTTGGAGGTGGCTGAAGCAAATAACCAACTACAAGCCAAACACCCCTCAGTCAACGGAAGACCTGCAGTCAGCAAACAGACTGAATGAGTTCTACTGTCGCTTTGATGACCCACCAATCGACCAGGACATCACCACCCATCAGCTAGATCTAAACAACAACGTCATTCACAAAAGTCTCTTCACAAAAGCCTCCACCCCCCTCCTCCAACTCACCCCCAACAGTCTTGGAAGAGGAAGTTAATAGGATATTCAAGAAGCTAGACACCCACAAGGCACCTGGACCAGACGGCCTGACTCCTTCCACCCTGAGACACTGACTACGTTTACATGCAGCCAATATCCGGGTTATGATCGGGTTAAGGTCGGTATTCGGGTTTCTGAGTTGATCAGAATAACCCGTTTACAAGCATAAATAGAAAGAGTTACCTCTAACTTGCATAACCCAGGGCCAGATTAACACTTTGTTGTACCCTGGGCAACAATATTCAAGGGCTCCATCATCACGACCCAAGGATCACCATAATGTGGTCACATACAGAATATTTTACTGTAATATGCAGTAAATATACTCAATACTTGAATGCCTGACAACACGTAACCCACTCAGGGTAACCTTTGACCCACCTCGTGTGGACTGACCAATGAGGAGAGGGTCTTAACTTGAGGCCCTCTCTTCATTGGTCAGTCTGCATGAGACTGACTCTCAACTGACGTTCAGTCATAGGCAGCGAAGCGTCTCTGTGCAGCGCAAAAGCCCGGGTGGACAGTTTGTTTAATGTAGGGTGACCATATTTCCATTTCCAAACAAGAGGACAGGGGATCTGTGCCTATGACGTCACACTATGGCAACGCCACACAAACCATGTTGGGACCCATTTTTTGTAAGAACTAAATTAATATCAGATTCTGCCAATAAAAGGGCTCTAAAACAATTCATATGTAAATATTTTGCATATTTAATGCAAAATCTCATTTTTATGCTTTAGTGCTGCAACAAGGTTTTATTAATAATAAATTATTACACCTTTTGTTTTACTACAGCATCGGTAAGCTTCCTGTGCACAGATGATTAAGGATGCTTGTTTCAGCTGTGAGATTAGACGATAGGATCAATGAAAAAATAAGTTGTCACACACTCCATGGAAACTTTCAGAGAATCCACAAATAGTGGCTTTCAGGTGGTTTTGTTACTTTTAGCAGGTTTAGAAAAGCAGC